TCCGAGCAAGCCATGCAGGCCGAAAGGTATTTCGTGGGAAAGAAGAAAGTTGTCTCTGCCGCCGTTCTGTCGGATTTATCAAATGATTACGAGAATGTTGACAGGGAGCTCTGGAGGGACAGGGCCCAGGAGACCAATTTCTCGGACTCGCTAGTAGTAATTATTTGCCATCAGTACCAGGTGTCCAGGACAGTTGCCATTCGCGTTTCTGCGTTACCTGCTGGGCGCCCTGACAGAGGCATCGCGGCAGGCTGCTGAACCGCCACTTTTGTAGTTCAACAGTGCTGCCCGCCGCCCATGAACATCTGGGTGGCCCAGAACCCGCGCGTGCAGCCCACGATTTTCATTCATGATTTCTTGTTCGCCATCCACAACAGCAAGCCCAACATATTGATAGCAGACCTTGCCACGGCCTCAGCTAGCACGCATCAGTCGATCGTTCTCGATCTGAGATGTGACATCGCTGAGCACACGGCTGCTGCTGCGGCTTCCACGCCGATGACCCAGGCCGATCTTGCGGCCAAACTCGGTCAATGGGCTGGCCCGAAGGCCGCCCTGGCCGAGCGCGCAGCCACCAATTTAGGAGTCGATTCACTGCTGGAGCCAGGCGAAGGAGCAAAGGAAGGAAAACGCGTAAGGCCAAGAATGGGAAGTTGAAGAGTCGACTCCGCAGGAGCAGACACAAAGAAGATCTGTAGCACTGGAATTCAGCAGGCGGGCTACTTCGGGACCGATATTCTGGGACCCGCTGTTCCGGACCTCCAGGGTGCGCCAAATATGTTCCTGAAGGTCGCGGGGCCCAAAAGTGCTACTCGGTCGCGTGCCCTGTCGCTCGCTGCGCTTGAAGACCCCACTTGGACAACAGCTGCTGGACCGTGCATTTACTGGGCTATGACTGTTTTCAGGGCTGCCCAAGACCCAAGGAAACCCGAGCTCAGACTTGCCGAACTTGGACAACTTGCAGCTAGCATCCTGGAAAGCCACCATCAGGTTGGGGTGATGTCAGCCTTCCGCCCACGTCTCCTGCGGCGGAGTTTCTAGCGCACCTTGCTTCCAGCCAGTTCAGAGGAGCGACTAAGATCCATTCTGATTTCAAGGCGCGGCGAGTTTCCACAACCCTGGCCAGCCTGCTAGTAGAAAGAATATGCATGATGGGCTGGGCTCTATGGCCAGGCCAGGAGAAGCCAGTTGTGCGGGAGGCTTTGAAGTTGCCAAAGTTGAAGCCCATCAAGATTTTGATTCCCTGGACCGCTACTCTGACGAGTGGCGGCACGCTTCGGGGAACGACGCTGCCGACAGAATTGCCAAAATAGCTGCTTCGCGCCTCCCCCAGCCCTCGGATGGAAAAAAAGAGAGATAGAGAGAAAAAGAGAAAAAGAGAGAGAGAGGAGAAAAATAAGAGCGAGAGAGAGAGAGCAGGAGAGAGAGAGAGAGAGCGAGAGAGAGAGAGAGCGAGAGAGAGAGAGAGGCCCAGCAGCAGTTCGAAAAGAGAATCAAACGTTTCCACCGGCATGCGCCGAAGGCTCCTGCGCCGCGGCCCTCGGTTGCCCCGAGGTTTGGGGGGAGAGGCCTCGAGGGCCCAGTGAAGGCAACCATCCCGTCTGTAGGTGCTCGATCGATCGCGGAAGTGTGGCAACGCAGAGCTAACTCAGGGGGGTCCTCTTCGGGCCCTGGAGCTGCGGCGCCCCCCCCCCTCCTCGCCCCCTCCGCGGTGCCCGCGCACGTGCGCGTGTCGGGCATGTGTGGACGTGGCAGAAAACACATTGGTTCTGCTGTCTCTGCCACTCGGGATGCATGTCTGATAAAATTTAACCTTCCCGGGCACAGGAGTCGCGCCCAGGCAACGCAGCTCGTCTGGCCAAACTAACAGAGCAGCCGAACGGTCACAAGCTTGCAGTTTTCACGAATTGACGATGACAATGTTGTTGTTGCATGTCAATTGTGCGGCAAGTATTCGGAGTGTACCGTTAAGAACCTCCAGATGAGTTGTCCCCATCGAGTCACTTCTACCTTTTCGAAAGGCGCCTACGCGCGCCTGGCCGAGGGGAGACACCCAAGGGCCGCTAAGACGAGCCCAATTGTCTCCAAGCCTCCTATCCCGATTGGTGAGGTTGCCGCCCAGGCAGCCCAGGCGCCAAGCCCCACATAGTTGTCGCCTCGGACACTCTGTGTACATGCGCGTGCGCGCGTGCGTGCGCGGCCCCGCACGCGTGTCAGGCAACCCGCATCAGGGGGAAGGAGCGCTGGGCTCTCTTCCTCTGCGGCACGGTGCTGCAGTTCTGCCCAGGCCCGCAGCAGGTTCGATCTGGGGTTGCGTTTCGTCCTGGCTGGCGGTGCTGGTGGCGCGCAGCCAGCCCTGGAACTCGGGCCTTGGGGTTCCGTCAGCCAGGCGATGCCAGCCGTCCTTTTCACTGCAGCGTGCTGTTTGGCGATACCCTGTTGCACGGCCGTGGGGCGCGTGCTGGCGCCCTCCACGGTGACAGTGGCACAGGGGGAGCCCCCGTGGGTTCTGGGCACGGGGGTGGACTTGGGTTGCCAGTCCCCCCGGCAGATGCTCAGCCCCACCCCTCCCCGCGCGATCGTGGGCGGCGGAGGTGAGGTACCGTTGTGGCTAGGTGTGCAACGCCACACCAGGCCCAGCACCTCTTTCAGCGTCGGCAGCGTCCTGCCGTCTCAGCCGCCCCACCCGCGGCCGCTGTGGATAACATTGGTGGCCCTGTGCCACTGGGTTTTGGGTTAGGGTCGGGTCGGCCAACCCTTAGCCTCCCTCTTAGCCAAGTGATTGTCCTTCCCCCCTTCCAGCTTATGGTGGTGGTGGTGGTGGAAAACAGGCCCATCATCTAGAGCAGAAAAAGAACCTTCACAATAAACGCCCCGACAAGCGAAGCCGTTCAGTGAGTGCACCCAAAAGAAGAATCGAACAGGGCAGGGCACACTACCCGACGAGGCAAAACGAGACCTTGGGAAATCACTGGCACCTAGCGCGAAGAGGTACAAAGGGGGAGCAACGACGATTCGGAAATGCACCGATTCTTGGATTCACCCCACGATAGACCAACATCTCCACCACAATGCACCCACGAGCGCCTAAAGAGCGCCTAAAGAGCGCCCCAACAAGGCCTCAAGAGGGCCCAGGAGTCGCTGACATCAAGAACTCCCCCCCCCTTTTTTCGATGGTCTCCAAGGTTCCCAATGAAGACCCTCGAGGCCCCACAGAAGGGCCCCCAGAAGGGCCCCCCCCCCAAAAGACACCCACAGCGCCCCCAGAGAGCTCCAAAGGATTTCATGATTATCCCAAGAAGGCTCCAGCAGCTCCCCGAAGATTAGCTTCAACATGTTTCGACTCCCTGCGTTACTATATGCTCGCCTTCGCCCCACCTCTAGACAACTCCTCTGGGCCCTGAGCATCGTTTCTGGACTATCGCCTTCACGACTTCCTTTTCTCCTGGCCTCCTCCTCCTCCTCCTCCTCCTCCTCCTCCTCCTCCTCCGCCCCTTATGTAGCTTACTAATGGGCTACATGCTGCTACACTTCCCTGATCAGGGCAACTCGCGTGGGGATCGTTCCTGGATGGGCTGGTGGGGATACGGGAAGCGTCCAGAAATCGAAGCCCATGCAGAGGCGATGTTCGCCAGCACGCACGGCGTCCCTCGTGAGCCTGGCGTGAGCCGGCGCGCACACATGGTGGACACGTCCTTGTTTCACTGTTCTCACCGTCGCACCTCCTCCAGAAATCGTGCCTGGATGGGCTATGTCCCTCACTACTTCCTCTTTTTCCTGCTCGCCCTACTCCTCCGCCTCCGCCTCTTACGTGTCTTACTAATGCACTACATGCCGCTGCGTTTCCCTGGCCAGGGCAGCTCGCGCAGGGATCGTTTCTGGACGGGCTGGTGGGAGCGCGCGCAGCGTCAATAATTTTCACCAGGTTTCGTCGCGCACCTCATCTGCGGGACACATTCGCTCCAATTGCTCGTCAGAACCTGGCGGGTGCGATGTCATGCGCCGCGTTATCATTCCACGTCGCGACGAGACCGCGGCGACGATGCGACGAAGTTGACGATGACGCTTTGACACAGAAAGACGCCCATGTCATCGACGGGCTTACAAGGGTGACCCCTCCCGCACGATCGATCGCGGCGACTGTCCCCGACATCTAATGCCTGCCTTTCTGGCGCAGAAGCAATTTCGGATGGTGTTCTGTTGTAAAACCAAAACGCTGCGATTCGTGTGCCAGCGGAGCCTGGCGGCCCCCGCAAGGCCTGTTTAGTAAAAAGCCCGGGGCCGTTTTAGCAAGCGCCACCTATGGAGATCGGGGTGGTGTTTCCTCGCTTGAAGACGGGACCAGAGGTGGTGCTCTTGACTGCAGGCCACCGCGCAGCAGGTGTGCGCGCGCCCGCCACCGTTCCCTAGAGGAAGCAGTAACTGTTGGAGGTCCACCAGGATTTCTTGGATCGGCGCTGGCCCCCCCCCCCCCGGCGGCGCCTCCAGCGCCGCCCCTGGCGCGCTCCGCGCGCCACGGAGCGGGGTCCAGCGCCGTTCCAAGAAATCCGCGTAGAGATCCGGACATTTATATTGACGCCGTTTTTGGCGGCGCGCACAAGGGGGTGGAGGGAGGGGGGAAGGTTTCTCAGAAAGAGATTGCTCCTTAGAAGGCGCTGGCAATGCATCGATAGATACGGCCCGCGCCTTCTAAGAAGCAGGGGTCTTTCTAAGAAGCCCTCCCCTGTCCCCCCACCACCCTTCTGCACGAGGCCGAGTTATTTCTCTTCTGAGGCACACTACCGATCTTGCGGCCGCACGGCCGGAAGCATGCCCGCCCGTAGCGCCCGGCGCACGGCGGACCCCGTGCAGGGCAGGCGTAGCTTTGCCCCCCGCCCGGCGTGGGACGCACCGTGACTGGCGTGCGAACGGCTCCCCTCGACAACAAAAAAAAGTAATTAGGGACAGCCACTCGAGAAGCCGCATCAAGCCCGAACGGCGGAGCCGCGCGGGCGGGCTCCTCACTCCGGCTCCTCGCCCTTGCAGCCCTTGTGCTGGTTCTTGCAGCAGTAGGCGATCTTCCCCGGGGACCACGACAGCTCCAGGCAGTGCATGCAGTGGTGGTAGCCCGCGTCGCAGTCGTACTGGCTCTTGTCCTCCTCGGGGGGCGCGTCGCCCTGCGGGAGGCCCGAGGGCGGGGGCAGCTCCGAGGGGCAGCCCTTGTTGGCAGTCTTGCAGCAGTAGATCTTCTTCTCGCCAGACCAGCCGCGCACCCACTGCAGCGGGTCGAGGTCGTTGTAGCCGGCGTTGCAGTCGATCGGGCACGGGGACGTGGTGCTCATCGCCGTTGTCACCACCGGCGCGACCGGCGCGACGGGCACGACCGGCGCCGGCATGGTGCTGGGCGCAGCCGGTGTCGTCGGGCAGCCCTTGCCCTCGTGCAGGCAGCAGTACACCTTCTTGGGCACATCCCAAGACACGACGTCGCCCTCGCCGCAGTTGATCTTCTTCTCCTGGAGGCCTCCAATATCGGGTCCGAGTAGATGGGGTCCGAGGATCGCGCCGCATCGCCAGTTCATCGCCGATGCATCGCCGATGCATCGCCGATGCATCGGCGACGCATCGGCGCCGTCGGCGTAGTGAAAGTCTGACTCGACGTCGAGGCGTATCGCCGATGCATCGGCGACGCGGCGCGATTCTCCGATCCCATTCACTCGGACCCCACTTGGGAGGCCCGGATCTCCGTGGTCGTGGGCGGCGGGGGCGGCGGGGGCGGGGGGGGCGGCGGCGGGGGCGGGGGCGGCGGGGGCGGGGGCGGGGGCGCAGCCGTCGTGGCCTTCGTGGTGGTGGTCTTCGCGGTGGTGGTGTCCGGCGGCGGAGTGGTCGTGATGATCACCGGGGTGGTGGTCGTCGTCGTCGTGGTCGTCGTCGAGCCCGGCGCCATCGCGAAGAGCAGGAGGGGCAGCAGGAGGAGCGACAGCCCCAGGGGCACGAGGCAGATCAGGCAGCAGTTCGGGCCGCGCCCAGGGATGCGGACCGCCCCGAACTCGCCCGCGCCCATGCCCACGTACTTGTACGTGGTCTCCTGGACGTAGTCGCCCCCCGGGCCCACGTAGCTCAGGATCGTGCCGCCGCCGCCGCCGCAGCCCGAGCCCTCAGCGCACGCCGCGCCGGCGCCGGGGCCGCAGCCCATGCAGGAGGTGGTGGTCGCGCAGCACGCCGTGCCGCAGTCCTGTCAGGGGGCGAGGCGGGGGGGGGCAACTGGCAGGGGGGGGGGCGGCACAATGACCTGGGATCGGCGATGCATGGCCGATCCAGGTCGGCAAAGCCGCGCCTTCTGGGGTGGGGTGGGGCCCATGCCCAGATGGGGTCCACTGGCCCCCCCTCTGGGCCAGTCCCCCGCCCTCCGCCATTGCCCCTGAATGTCCGCGCCCCCGCCTCCGTACGCGCCGCCCGCGCCGTACAGGCCGCCCGCGCCGTACATGCCGCTGGCGCCGTAGGCGCGGCCCGAGCCGTACGCGCCGCCGAGGCCGCCCGCGCCTCCACCGAGGCCCCCGCCGTAACCGTAGCGGAACGACATGGCGCCGCGGGCGCGGAGGCGCTGCTGCAGAGAAGGAGGGTCCCTGGGGAAGGCTGGGGCCAAGATGGCAGGAACAGCCACCCTGCGCTGCCTTCCCCCCTCGACCCGCCCACCGAGAGCCCGCACGCCCCCTGCCCGCGGGGAGGGGGCGCCGCCCCAGAGATCCGAGGCACCGATATTCTCGAAACATGGGGCGTTGGATGATTTGGGGCCCTCGAAGGCTTCCTGGGATCTTTATTCGGTAGCGACGGGGGCCTTCATTATGGTCCGCTGGGCAAAAAATTAGCCGCGGGTGAGTTTGGAAATTAGCCTGGTGAAAGACCCAACCATACGCAGTTGTGAATACCGTCGTTGGTAGTATTCTCGAAAACACGGGGCCCCCAGAAGTCCCGACCCTTTCCCCGTTCTCCCTGGGCCGGCGTTGGATCCTGAGTCGTCTTTGTGGACGGTCCCAGGGGGCTCGGTGAGCGCTCCAGAGCTCTCGGGCCAGACCAGCGCGAAGGGGTCGGGCAGAGCTGGGGGGAGCCAGCTCAGCTCACGCACGTGTGCGCAGTACTTTATATATATATATATACACACACAAACATTTGTGTCTATGTATAAAGTATACAAATAAATATATAGATGTAAACATACACGTGACTATATATATAGATGTGTGTGGGTGTGCATGTAAATGTTTGTTGTGTGTAATTGTACACATACATAATTGATGTATGCATATACATGTATGAATGCATGCATAGATACATGGATGCATGCATGCATGCATGCATGCATGAATACAAATACATACATTCAGACATATATGCATGCATACGTACATGCATGCATGCATGCATACAGACATACATACATACATACAGATATGCATAATTGCATGCATACATACATACATGCATATATACCTACATACATACATAAATGCATGCATGCATGCATACACACATACATGCATGCATACATGCATACAGACGGTCAGACACGCATGCATACAGACATACATGTTCTACATACCTACATGCCTACATACATACATACATACATACACACATGCATGCATGCATGCATGCATGCATGCATAATGACTGAATTAATGCATAAAGACATGCACAACTACATACATACATACATACATACATACATACATACATACATACATACATACATACATACATACATGCATGTATGCATGCATGCATGCATGCATGCATACATACATACATACATACATACATACATACATACATACATACATACATCTATACATACATACATACATACATACATACATACATACATGCATACATACATGCGTACATACATACATGCATACATGCATGCATGCATGCATGCATGCATGCATACATAGATGCACACGTGGGTGTAGACGTTTGTAAATGTTGAGATATACATATATATATATACATATATATATATATGTGTGTATGTGTGTACATATATATACATATATATGTGTGTATCTATGTATATATGTATATATATATATATGTGTATACCTGTGTGTACGGCCATTGTTGCTGTTCCTAGCGCTAAAGACTCCCATGCATCGAGCTCGAGGAACCTGACGTCTCCTCCGCAGGGGAGCGGCAACGGGAGCCGCGCGCGGGCGCGTGTAGCTTTGCCTCCACGCCCGGCGGGCTCTGGCTGCGACCAGCCCCCCTTCGGCAACGACAGAAACAGAAACGGGGGCAGCCGCTCGAGAGGCGAGAGCTGCGGGCGGCCCACCCGCATCAAGCCCGAACGGCGGAGCCGCGCGGGCGGGCTCCTCACTCCGGCTCCTCGCCCTTGCAGCCCTTGTGCTGGTTCTTGCAGCAGTAGGCGATCTTCCCTGGGGACCACGACAGCTCCAGGCAGTGCATGCAGTGGTGGTAGCCCGCGTCGCAGTCGTACTCGCTCTTGTCCTCCTCGGGGGGCGCGTCGCCCTGCGGGAGGCCCGAGGGCGGGGGCAGCTCCGAGGGGCAGCCCTTGTTGGCGGTCTTGCAGCAGTAGATCTTCTTCTCGCCAGACCAGCCGCGCACCCACTGCAGCGGGTCGAGGTCGTTGTAGCCGGCGTTGCAGTCGATCGGGCACGGGGACGTGGTGCTCATCGCCGTTGTCACCACCGGCGCGACCGGCGCGACGGGCACGACCAGCGCCGGCATGGTGCTGGGCGCAGCGGGTGTCGTCGGGCAGCCCTTGCCCTCGTGCAGGCAGCAGTACACCTTCTTGGGCACATCCCAAGACACGACGTCGCCCTGGCCGCAGTTGATCTTCTTCTCCTGGAGGCCTCCAAAATCGGGTCCGAGCAGATGGGGTCCGAGGATCGCGCCGCATCGCCAGTGCATCACCGGTGCATCGGCGACGTCGGCGACGCATCGGCGCCGTCTGCGTAGAGAAAGTCTGGCCCGACGTCGAGGCGCATCGCCGATGCATTGGCGATGCGGCGCGATTCTCCGATCCCATTCACTCGGACCCCACTTGGGAGGCCCGGATCTCCGTGGTCGTGGGCGGCGGGGGCGGCGGGGGCGGGGGGGGCGGCGGCGGGGGCGGGGGCGGCGGGGGCGGGGGCGGGGGCGCAGCCGTCGTGGCCTTCGTGGTGGTGGTCTTCGCGGTGGTGGTGTCAGGCGGCGGAGTGGTCGTGATGATCACCGGGGGGTGGTCGTCGTCGTCGTGGTGGTCGTCGTCGAGCCCGGCGCCATCGCGAAGAGCAGGAGGGGCAGCAGGAGGAGCGACAGCCCCAGGGGCACGAGGCAGATCAGGCAGCAGTTCGGGCCGCGCCCAGGGATGCGGACCGCCCCGAACTCGCCCGCGCCCATGCCCACGTACTTGTACGTGGTCTCCTGGACGTAGTCGCCCCCCGGGCCCACGTAGCTCAGGATCGTGCCGCCGCCGCCGCCGCAGCCCGAGCCCTCAGCGCACGCCGCGCCGGCGCCGGGGCCGCAGCCCATGCAGGAGGTGGTGGTCGCGCAGCACGCCGTGCCGCAGTCCTGTCAGGGGGCGAGGCGGGGGGGGACAACTGGCACGGGGGGGGGCGGCACAATGACCTGGGATCGGCGATGCATGGCCGGCAGGTCGGCAAAGCCGCGCCTTCTGGGGTGGGGCGGGGCCCAGTGGACCCCCCCTCTGGGCCAGTCCCCCGCCCTCCGCCATTGCCCCTGAATGTCCGCGCCCCCGCCTCCGTACGCGCCGCCCGCGCCGTACAGGCCGCCCGCGCCGTACATGCCGCTGGCGCCGTACGCGCGGCCCGAGCCGTACGCGCCGCCGAGGCCGCCCGCGCCTCCACCGAGGCCCCCGCCGTAACCGTAGCGGAACGACATGGCGCCGCGGGCGCGGAGGCGCTGCTGCAGAGAAGGAGGGTCCCTGGGGAAGGCTGGGGCCAAGATGGCAGGAACAGCCAGCACCGACTCGCCAGGATGCACGGCAACGCCGCGCGGGCATCAGCATCGAGGTGGACCCTGCGCTGCCTTCCCCCCCCGCCCCACCGAGAGCCCGCACGCCCCCTGCCCGCGGGGAGGGGACGAACTGCCACCCCAGAGATCCGAGGCTCTGACATTCTCAAAAACATGGGGCCCCCAGAAGTCCCGACCCTTTCCCCGTTCACCCTGGGCCGGCTTTGGATCCTGATTCGTCTTGTGGACGGTCCCGGGGGGCTCGGTGAGGGCCCCCGCGGCCAGCTCCAGAGCGCTCCAGAGCTCTCGGGCCAGACCAGCGCGAAGGGGAGGATGGGGGGCCGGATGGGGGAGGGGGCCAGGGGATCTCAGGGAGGAGGGAGGGATCGGGTCGGGCAGAGCTGGGGGGAGCCAGCTCAGCTCACGTACGTGTGCGCAATGTTCAAATAGATATATAATGTGAATATCAGCATATATATATAATATGTATACATATAAATATGTATACATGCATGCATGCCTGCCTGCCTGCCTGCATGAATGTATACATACACACCCATACACACATACACACATACACACATGCATGCATACATACATATACACATGCAGACATGCATGCAGACATGCATGCATGCATACATACATACATACATTCATGCATACATACATACATACATACATACATACATACATACATACATACATACATACATACATATGTGTATACATACATGCATACACACACGCGCATACATACATGCATACACGCATACATACATACCTACATACATACATACATACATACATACATACATACATACAAATATACATTACATACATACATTACATGCATACATACATACATACATACATACACACACATACATACATACATACATACATACATACATACATACATGCATACACACATGCATGCATGCATACATACATATATATATATATACATACATACATACATACATACATACATACACACACATACGTACATACCTGTATGCGTACATGCATACAAGCATACATAGCTACATAAATCCAAACATACATACATGCATATATGCATGTATACATACATGCATACATACATACATGCATGCATACATACATGCGTGGGTGCGTGCGTACGTGCGTGCATGCATGCATGCATACATACATATAGACATCCATGCATGCATTTATACATACATACATACATACATACATACATACATACATACATACATACATACACACACAGAGAGACAGACAGACAGACAGACACACAGACAGACACCCATACAGACAGACAGACAGAGAGACAGACAGACAGACAGACAGACACACAGACAGACAGACATACATACATACATGCATGCATGCATGCATACATACATACATAGATGCACATTTGTTTGTAGATATTTGTAAATGTCGATATATATATATATATGTACATTCATGTGTAGACATATATATATATATACATATATATGTATATATATATATGTATATATATATATATATGTATACCTGTGTGCATGGCCATTGTTGCTGTTCCTGGCGCTGGAGACTCCCATGCATCGAGCTCGAGGAACCTGACGTCTCCTCCGCAGGGGAGCGGCGGGAAGCGGCAACGGGAGCCGCGCGCGGGCGCGTGTAGCTTTGCCTCCACGCCCGGCGGGCTCTGGCTGCGACCAGCCCCCCTCGACAACGACAGAAACAGAAACGGGGGCAGCCGCTCGAGAGGCGAGAGCTGCGGGCGGCCCACCCGCATCAAGCCCGAACGGCGGAGCCGCGCGGGCGGGCTCCTCACTCCGGCTCCTCGCCCTTGCAGCCCTTGTGCTGGTTCTTGCAGCAGTAGGCGATCTTCCCCGGGGACCACGACAGCTCCAGGCAGTGCATGCAGTGGTGGTAGCCCGCGTCGCAGTCGTACTCGCTCTTGTCCTCCTCGGGGGGCGCGTCGCCCTGCGGGAGGCCCGAGGGCGGGGGCAGCTCCGAGGGGCAGCCCTTGTTGGCGGTCTTGCAGCAGTAGAAAAAGGAAGCACGACATGAGCCCGATGACGGGCACCCCGGCCTGGGGCCTGCGCCGCGCTCAATCAGGTGCCTTCTCCGCGGGGCCGGCGGCGAGGACCCCCTCCGGCACCACCAACAAGTCCGCCTCCTCCTCCTCCGCTTCCTCCGCCTCCGCGGCCTCCTCCTCCTCTGTGTCTGCTCCCGCCCTCCTCCTCCTCCTCCTCCTCAACTTCCGTCCCTTCTCGGCGCCGCTGCGGCGTCGTTTGCGCGTTCCCTCCTCTGCCTCGCCGCTGTCTGGGAGGGGACCTGCTGCAGCCTCTGGCCCGCGCTGCTGGTGCTGGGCCTCCTCCTCCCTTGGCGCCTCCAGCTGCTCCTCTGCGGCCTCCTCCACCTCTGCTGCCTCCACATCTGGCTCCTCCTCTTCTCTGGTCCGCTGCGGGGCCTCGTACCGCTCGGCCAGCACGCGCCGTCGGATCCTGGCCATGGCCCTGATGCGGTCATCCCAGCGGTCTTGCAGCAGTAGATCTTCTTCTCGCCAGACCAGCCACGCACCCACTGCAGCGGGTCGAGGTCGTTGTAGCCGGCGTTGCAGTCGATCGGGCACGGGGACGTGGTGCTCATCGCGGTTGTCACCACAGGCGCGACCGGCGCGACGGGCACGACCGGCGCCGGCATGGTGCTGGGCGCAGCCGGCGTCGTCGGGCAGCCCTTGCCCTCGTGCAGGCAACAGTACACCTTCTTGGGCACATCCCAAGACACGACGTCGCCCTCGCCGCAGTTGATCTTCTTCTCCTGGAGGCCTCCAAAATCGGGTCCGAGTAGATGGGGTCCGAGGATCGAGCCGCATCGCCAGTGCATCGCCAGTGCATCGCAGATGCATCGCCGATGCATCGGCGACGTCGGCGACGCATCGGCACCGTCCGCGTAGAGAAAGTCTGGCCCCACGTCGAGGCGTATCGCCGATGCATCGGCGATGCGGCGCGATTCTCCGATCCCATTCACTCGGACCCCACTTGGGAGGCCCGGATCTCCGTGGTCGTGGGCGGCGGGGGCGGCGGGGGCGGGGGGGGCGGCGGCGGGGGCGGGGGCGGCGGGGGCGGGGGCGGGGGCGCAGCCGTCGTGGCCTTCGTGGTGGTGGTCTTCGCGGTGGTGGTGTCAGGCGGCGGAGTGGTCGTGATGATCACCGGGGTGGTGGTCGTCGTCGTGGTGGTCGTCGTCGAGCCCGGCGCCATCGCGAAGAGCAGGAGGGGCAGCAGGAGGAGCGACAGCCCCAGGGGCACGAGGCAGATCAGGCAGCAGTTCGGGCCGCGCCCAGGGATGCGGACCGCCCCGAACTCGCCCGCGCCCATGCCCACGTACTTGTACGTGGTCTCCTGGACGTAGTCGCCCCCCGGGCCCACGTAGCTCAGGATCGTGCCGCCGCCGCCGCCGCAGCCCGAGCCCTCAGCGCACGCCGCGCCGGCGCCGGGGCCGCAGCCCATGCAGGAGGTGGTGGTCGCGCAGCACGCCGTGCCGCAGTCCTGTCAGGGGGCGAGGCGGGGGGGGGCAACTGGCACGGGGGGGGGCGGCGATCGGCGATGCATGGCCGGCAGGTCAGCAAAGCCGCGCCTTCTGGGGTGGGGTGGGGCCCATGCCCAGATGGGGTCCACCCGCCCCCCCTCTGGGCCAGTCCCCCGCCCTCCGCCATTGCCCCTGAATGTCCGCGCCCCCGCCTCCGTACGCGCCGCCCGCGCCGTACAGGCCGCCCGCGCCGTACATGCCGCTGGCGCCGTACGCGCGGCCCGAGCCGTACGCGCCGCCGAGGCCGCCCGCGCCTCCACCGAGGCCCCCGCCGTAACCGTAGCGGAACGACATGGCGCCGCGGGCGCGGAGGCGCTGCTGCAGAAAAGGAGGGTCCCTGGGGAAGGCTGGGGCCAAGATGGCAGGAACAGCCAGCACCGACTCGCCAGGATGCACGGCAACGCCGCGCAGGCATCAGGATCGAGGTGGACCCTGCGCTGCCTTCCCCCCTCGACCCGCCCCACCGAGAGCCCGCACGCCCCCTGCCCGCGGGGAGGGGATGAACTGCCACCCCAGAGATCCGAGGCTCTGCCATTCTCAAAAACACGGGGCCCCCAGAAGTCCCGACCCTTTCCCCGTTCACCCTGGGCCGGCTTTGGATCCTGAGTCGTCTTGTGGACGGTCCCGGGGGGCTCGGTGAGGGCCCCCGCGGCCAGCTCCAGAGCGCTCCAGAGCTCTCGGGCCAGACCAGCGCGAAGGGGAGGATGGGGGGCCGGATGGGGGAGGGGGCCAGGGGATCTCAGGGAGGAGGGAGGGATCGGGTCGGGCAGAGCTGGGGGGAGCCAGCTCAGCTCACGCACGTGTGCGCAATGTTCAAATAGATAAATTATGTGAATATCAGCATATATATATATATATATGCATATATAAATATAAATATATACATATATGTATACATATATATACACATATATACATGCATGCATGCCTGCATGCCTGACTGCATGAATGTATACATACACACCCATACACACATACACACATGCATACATACATACATACATACATACATACATGCATGCATACATACATACACACATACATACATACATACATATATACATATACATACAGGCATGCATACAGACATGCATGCATATATACATACATACCTACCTACATACATACATACATACATACATACATGCAGACATACATTCATAATTTATACATACATACATACATACATATATACATACATACATACATACATACATACATACATACAGACAGACAGACAGACAGACAGACAGACAGACAGACAGACAGACAGACAGACAGACAGACAGACAGACACACAATACAGACAGACAGACAGAGAGACAGACAGACAGACACACAGACAGACAGACATACATGCATACATGCATGCATGCATACATACATACGTAGATGCACACTTGTTTGTAGACATTTGTAAATGTTGATATATATATATATATATGTACATTCATGTGTATACCTATATATATATATATACCTGTGTGCATGGCCATTGTTGCTGTTCCTGGCGCTGGAGACTCCCATGCATCGAGCTCGAGGAACCTGACGTCTCCTCCGCAGGGGAGCTGCGGGGAGCGGCAACGGGAGCCGCGCGCGGGCGCGTGTAGCTTTGCCTCCACGCCCGGCGGGCTCTGGCCGCGACCAGCCCCCCTTCGACAACGACAGAAACAGAAACGGGGGCAGCCGCTCGAGAGGCGAGAGCTGCGGGCGGCCCACCCGCATCAAGCCCGAACGGCGGAGCCGCGCGGGCGGGCTCCTCACTCCGGCTCCTCGCCCTTGCAGCCCTTGTGCTGGTTCTTGCAGCAGTAGGCGATCTTCCCCGGGGACCACGACAGCTCCAGGCAGTGCATGCAGTGGTGGTAGCCCGCGTCGCAGTCGTACTCGCTCTTGTCCTCCTCGGGGGGCGCGTCGCCCTGCGGGAGGCCCGAGGGCGGGGGCAGCTCCGAGGGGCAGCCCTTGTTGGCGGTCTTGCAGCAGTAGATCTTCTTCTCGCCAGACCAGCCGCGCACCCACTGCAGCGGGTCGAGGTCGTTGTAGCCGGCGTTGCAGTCGATCGGGCACGGGGACGTGGTGCTCATCGCCGTTGTCACCACCGGCGCGACCGGCGCGACGGGCACGACCGGCGCCGGCATGGTGCTGGGCGCAGCCGGTGTCGTCGGGCAGCCCTTGCCCTCGTGCAGGCAGCAGTACACCTTCTTGGGCACATCCCAAGACACGACGTCGCCCTCGCCGCAGTTGATCTTCTTCTCCTGGAGGCCTCCAAAATCGGGTCCGAGCAGATGGGGTCCGAGGATCGCGCCGCATCGCCAGTCGCCGATGCATCGCCGATGCATCGCCGATGCATCGGCGACGCATCGGCGCCGTCGGCGTAGAGAAAGTCTGGCCCGACGTCGAGGCGCATCGCCGATGCATTGGCGATGCGGCGCGATTCTCCGATCCCATTCACTCGGACCCCACTTGGGAGGCCCGGATCTCCGTGGTCGTGGGCGGCGGGGGCGGCGGGGGCGGGGGGGGCGGCGGCGGGGGCGGGGGCGGCGGGGGCGGGGGCGGGGGCGCAGCCGTCGTGGCCTTCGTGGTGGTGGTCTTCGCGGTGGTGGTGTCCGGCGGCGGAGTGGTCGTGATGATCACCGGGGTGGTGGTCGTCGTCGTGGTGGTCGTCGTCGAGCCCGGCGCCATCGCGAAGAGCAGGAGGGGCAGCAGGAGGAGCGACAGCCCCAGGGGCACGAGGCAGATCAGGCAGCAGTTCGGGCCGCGCCCAGGGATGCGGACCGCCCCGAACTCGCCCGCGCCCATGCCCACGTACTTGTACGTGGTCTCCTGGACGTAGTCGCCCCCCGGGCCCACGTAGCTCAGGATCGTGCCGCCGCCGCCGCCGCAGCCCGAGCCCTCAGCGCACGCCGCGCCGGCGCCGGGGCCGCAGCCCATGCAGGAGGTGGTGGTCGCGCAGCACGCCGTGCCGCAGTCCTGTCAGGGGGCGAGGCGGGGGGGGGGGCAACTGGCACGGGGGGGGGCGGCGATCGGCGATG